TACAGAGTCCCATGTAATAAAACAATTATACTGTTTTGTAAAAAAGCACAAGATAAAAAGTTATGCTCTGGGTTTATTAAAGCAGTATATATTTGTGTATATTACATAAATACTTATTTTTTGATTATAACTTACCAACTTATTCGGAATTTCGATTATAATAATTTAAATTGTAAACTCAATTTTGCGCTTTCCTTTTGGGAATATTTCACCCCTATTGCGAGTGCCGACTAGGCGTAGATAAACGACTACTAAGCGATTGTCGATTACCGATCCTATTGTGAGTGTCGATTAGTCGCTCAATTAGCGACTGTGAATAGTTTTCAATCGCTCATCCTTCTATTGCTGTTTCTGAATCGATACGGGTTTGCGTGAATAAAATTGTTGTGATATAAATTAATAAATATTGGATAAAAAGTAAGTTATTTGGATCGAAAGTGTAAAAAAAATTAGTATGCATGTGTATGAATTGCAGATCAAAAGTGGTTAGCAATAAAAAGCAACTCAGGCGGTCAAGCTTATGCAGGTCTATCAGGACTTGGCTAAAGGGATTTCCAGCAAGACTCGGGCAAAACCCAGAAGGGAAGCCATAGCAGTAGAACTGAACAGCATATAACTCCATCTAAGCCATCCAGTCTTTTTTTTGCAGAACCTAAATCCTTTCACTACACGTGTATGTTAAAGTTTTTAGAATCGGTTCACGCTTTCGACACGACAACCGAAAATAATTGTACAAATGACTAAACCGTACCAAATTTCTTAAACTAGTTGCGTTCCAGACGCTTTACGATTTGCAGGTTTTTACAGGAAGTTGTTCCAGGTGGCCACCTCCCATAAGGTTTATTAATGGCGAAAACAGCTTTTCCTGCAAATCTTGAAGCATCTGGAACGCAACTACTATTCATGAAATTCACATATGTATGTACACACACTTCATCTTCCAACTCCGAGGGATTCGACGAATTTCGCAAATTTCCTCCTTGCTTTAGCTATCCCTACTAATCAAATAGCTTCCACATCAACTTCCTCATCACTGAACCATATCTCAACAGTATCCTTTTTTTAAATGTTATAATAAAAGCAATTATTTCAAAAATGATGTAACTGAAACAATAAAGAGACAAATGTAAACAATCAAACAGCTGTTTACAATTCAGTCAACCATTCACAATAATACAAATTTTTATCGATCAATTTGGGCAATACCAAAATAACAGATAATCGACTCAATCTACAAAATTCTATTCTACTGCCAGTCGACACTCGCAACAGGAGTGTTTGTATTATTCATTCAGCGCCAATTTCAATATCTAAGGGCCAGTTTCAGTGGCAGTTTATACTTAGATTGCCAATTGTTTGGCATATTTAGACAAAGTTGATCTGAAACCCAACAAAAGTTAAATGGCACTCAAACAACAATCCACAATTAAACTTAAGTGCTATTTTAATATTCATTTGAAATTGGCCCTTAGTTTATAGCAGCCAGCTTGGGCGTTTAAACTAAGTTGCACTACAGTGCACTGAAAAACTGGCCCTAAGTGTACGTGTAAAAGTGCCTATCAGTCTTTTTTCATTCATGGTACTATGGAACCATGTTTTTAACCGGCGAAGGGTAACTTCTTTCTGAAGTAGCGTTACTAGCTAGAAGTGTAGTCAGAATGCGGAGAATTTCGTTAATCAACGGAAAAGCATATTCGTCGTCCCATTTACCAAGAACTTCTGCTGCTGATTTTAGGTATGGCTTTTCGCTTACCTCATTTGTTCATCGTTCTGACCACACTTTATACTCTCCTTCCAAACTGAAAGCGTCTTTTTGTAGCGTATTATATTCCCTAAGTTTATATGTATGGAAGTAATAGTTCAACTCAAAAATGTTTATGTAATGTATATTTCGGCAATCTTTCTCGGAGATCGAGCTAAATATTATGCAATAGCGGTATAAATATTACCTTTCGATAATAATCTGCAGCGCTAGATGCCGATAATTAGCCCGAAAATGTCATCTATCCGCTCTCCGAGGAAGGACAATGTCCAAATAGTATAATTCCTTAGCGATATCGGTAACTAACACGGCAAGCGCTTTTTCTACGCATTTTGCTATTATCCCCCTACGATTGTCTGGTTACACAGTTGTGAAATGTGAAATTTTCTGCATTCACCGCGGAAATAGACAATAAGTAGTATCAAAAAGTTTGATTCGACATGCATACATATAGTTCTTATCATAACTTTACGACACTCACATACTGGCAAAATGTTACCATTTATTTTAAAATTTATTAATTTTAATTATTGTTTTTTAAAGGTATAGCATATTTTTAACAGAAACCATATAAATCTTTGTGCAAAATTAAAAAAGAAATCAACAAACTTTGTAAAAATTTCGAGCTTTTTAATTAGATTTTTTAGAAATATTTTGAGTATGCAGTTTTGTAGACCAATCTTTGTGCAAAATTAAAAAAGAAATCAACAAACTTTGTAAAAATTTCGAGCTTTTTAATTAGATTTTTTAGAAATATTTTGAGTATGCAGTTTTGTAGACCAATTTCAAGTACCATTAAGATTTGGGAATTTTTTTTCGTCGAAAGTGTTGCTCATTTTCTCCATACAACAAAAAAATCATCGAAAATGTTTTGTATGGAATAAAATGGCTAACATGGTCAACAAAAAAATGCCAAAATCAGTTACTTTAAACTTGCAGTATAATTAAATGGGCTAAAAAACTGCTTAATATTTCTTAAAAATCGAATTAAAAAGGTCGACATTTTTACGAGTTTGTGGATTTTTTAAAACGTTGCGCAAAGATTCAAGCTTGGTTTTGTATGGTTTTTGTTTAAGATTATACTATATTTTTATAAGCAAATAATGAAAATTAAAAACTATTAAGACAAATGGTCAAATCTTGCTAAATATAAATGCCGTAAAGTTATAACAAGGTCTATAAATTCATAGTATTTGCATACCTATTGTTGTAATTTTTAATTTAAGAGAATAACATGCTTTCTTATTCTATAAATAATCTTGTGCAAGCCTAATACTATGTCTCCATTGTGAGATTTAATGAAGATTTAGCCCTCTGACGAGATTTGACGTTAAATCTTTTGAGATTTACCATATAAAATTAAATCTCAAAAGGCAGATTATGTTAAATCTTCGTCAAATCTTCAATAATATTGATCAATAAGTACAATTTGTTGGATGTGGCAACCACAAATTCACATGCCATAAGTCAAATGACATTTGTGTTTTCAATATACAGTTGAGGACATTGAAATCTAGCCTATCATAAAAACATGAATTTTCGTATTTTTAGGGATTTTTATATTTTTGTTAGTTTGGGAGGAAAATTAGTAATACATATTTACATAACTTTGGTTGTAATAAATTAAGAAAATATTATTTTAAAAACTAAAAATTTAGAAGAAATGTTTTATAGTAATATCATGCAGAGTCTTCTCCGCTTTCTATAAGTCATTTACGCGCTGCGACAAAAAATTTATAAATTTCGGTAATGGTTCTGCTTCGATAACATTGCACCGAACATCCTCTAGAACTCAGTTCGTATTCATGATATGCCAAAGGCCCACGATTGGATTTTCGGTTCCCTCCTATGAATAAGAGAGTTCTACAAAAATTTTTCTTTCCGCAAATGTTTTTTACCGTTTTGATAATTTTTCTTAAATTCGGGAAAATGATTCGGAATATGGTACCATTCTTTACACTTTCCAAACTATATATTATACATACATATTTACCACGAATAAGAAGCCAATAATATTCAGAATTCATATAATGAAATTCCGCTTGGTACCTTCCTTTTATCTGTCTGTATATCAATGTCCGCAACTGTATTTATAAAATTATACATTTGAAAACGTCAAATATTTAAAAATGTGAACGTCAAACATATCTCGTTGTGGTAATGGAGACGGTTGTGATTTAGCAACTGGATTTATTAAATCTTAATGGATAAATCTCTCAATGGAGACATAGTATAAAAAAGGGATTATGATTGAAGATCAAAAAATAAATTTTTAATTTCTTTTCAAATTTCTCGTTCGAGGTAATATATTGTAACCGAAATTTTTTTCCCGATCCGCCACTGCACCCGAAGGACGCCGAAGACAGAAATCGTTTTCAGCCGGCGGTGGATGAGTACCGGTTGTACCAGGCCACCCAAAAAGAGGATGCGGGAAAGCCGAATAGGTCCCAGAATGAGGTCGAAAGAGCCCCAAAAAAGGGGAGGTTTTCTGCTGACCAAGCAAGTGCGGATACTGCAGCAAGGCCACGGCGTGGCTTCAGCGAGGTGCCAAGGGATAGCCTGTGGGTGGAACTTGTAGATGTGGTCTCAAACAAGGCGAAGCCGGTGCTTGACAAGTGTGGGGAGATTGAGACGGGCCGCCTCAAATGGTCGTTGACCAGGTCATGGCAGAGCCGGATGGCCATCTCCCCAGGACTCTGCGTAGGTAGTGCGCAGCTACAGGGTGGTCAAATGTGAGAACCAACTCTCAAAGGTTTTCCTGGAGAAGAGCTTGACGAGCATCAGTGATGCTTGGGAGAGCATGAGACTCAATCTCATCCCTGCCAGTGACATCCCCAAGAGGCCAAGAGCTCGCATTTGGCTCCCACGTGTGCAGATGGATAGCGCGGCACTTCTAAAATACCTGTGCACACACAACCGCGAAATCCCGATAAACGACTGGGTGATCCTTAAGGCTGAGGAGTCACAAACAACCTGTATGTCCTTCTTACACCTCTTTGGTGAGGAAAGCATCGAGCCTTTGGAAAAGGCCGACTGTGTCCTTCGCTCTGGTATCCGGCGAGCCAAAATAAAAATTTTCCTTGCGAACAATGGTGAAGAAGAAGAGTCTGACGTGGTCGACGATGCAAATAAGCCGCTGGAAGGCATGCTGCTCGCTGACCCAACTGCTGACCCAAATTGAAAATGGGTCTGAAGGTTGTCCAGATTACCCTCCAGCACTAGAGGCTGGTGGAGGAAGATGTCGACATCGCACTCATTTAGGAGCCCTGGGTATGGAACACCGAGGTTAATCGGAGGGTAAGCCTAGATCTTGTGTTCCGGTTAAATTTCAATACCATACTTTTCTTATCTCTTCCCACAGCTCATCGGATCTAACAACTACGAGACTCGAAGCGGATGGTGGTACTAGCATGGTCATCGCCTCGTGCTACATGCCACACAACGAGGACGCACTACCGGATGTGATTCGTTGTCTAGTGGTGAATTTTCAATCGGACAATCTACTTATCGGGTGCGATTTCAACTCCAGGCATTCGATCTGGGGCAGCTCGGAAATAAATACTCGCGGTGAGTTTCTTTTCGATTACATTCTTAGCACTAACCTAATAATTTGTAATCGGGGTAGCACTCCTACGTTCACGTTTTCTAGCACCGCTGCCTTCAGGGGCTGGGAAGAAGTGTTTTACATAACTCTAACTAACGATTGTAGTAGCAGAGGTAGCATTAAGGTGGACAACTGGATGGTATCTGCTCGGAAATCAATTTCTGATCATAGCTACATACTGTTCAACTTATCGGTTAGCCAGAATGTTTCCCTTCCTTTTCGTAACCCAAAGATAAAAAACTGGCGGCGGTTTGCCAGTGTTGTCAGTAGCAAACTTGGGAAACATCACAATCAGGGGCGCACCCAGGAATATATTTTAGGGGGGGTTTTATATTTCTGAAGATATATCACCGGAAAATACTGAAAATTTGCTTGATAATACGCTCTTTAAAATACATTTATGCAAGTTTTATGTACAGTATGTCATAAATAAATAAACGTTTTAAAATTCATAAACTGCACTTTATTTACATTAGATTAACAGAACTCAAACCCTTTTAACCGACTTCAAAAAAGGGGAGGTTATCAATTCGCCGGAATACATAACTTTTTTACCACGTGAACCGATTTCAATAATCCTTTTTTTATTGGAAAGATGGTACCTCAAGGGTCGTCCCGTAATTTGTTTTAGAGATCCGATGATTGGATCATGGAGAAATTAACGGTACCCCTAAATTTGTATATGAGAATTGAAGTCGGTTGTCTTCTTTCCTTAAAAACTACTTGTTTAATAAAAAGTTCTATAAACTCAATATGCGCTCAACTTTCAAAAGTACCTAATAAAAAATTTTAAAAAAGAGTCAGTAAAAATAAAAGTATTGATTCCATGAATTTTTGCACTTTTATGTTCATGTTTTCGATTTCTGGTTTTCGATAGATGGTGATTTTTCATGATTGCTCAAGAAAAACGAAAAGTTCATATAAAACGACGGACGAGAAATGGAAAAGAAATTTTCTTCTACCAAATTTGCATAAATCAGTTTGCAGCTCTCAAGAAAAAAATGCTCGTATATTTATTTCCTCATGAAAATTTACAGCAAAAGCAAAGCGCTTTTTCAAGCAACAGAAATTATATTAAATATTTCTTATAATTTCCTTGAGAGCTGGATTCTTAGCTTTAAGATACAGTTTGTATTTGAGGTTATTAGCTTTAGGGGGGGTTTGAACCCCAAAACCCACCCCTTGTGTGCGCTAATGATCACAATAGTAATTTAACGACCTCGGAAGATATAGAAACCAAGTGCAACAAATTCGTAAAGGCTATGGGATCGGCCTTTAAAGTCTCCTGCCCCGTAAGCTGCGGGCGGAAAAAATATCCTCCATGGTGGGGAGAGGAGATTTCGGAACTTAGGAAAGATTCTCCTAAAGCCTCCAATTTAAGCTATTCCACGGGCAACTGGCAGACCTATAAAGATAGCTTGAGAATTTACAAAAAAGCAACTCGCAAAGCAAAACAGGAATCCTGGAGGGATTTCTGCTCTTCTATAGATTCAACGAAAGAATCCGCCAGAATGGGGAGGATCCTATCCAAGAAAGACAGCAATATTTCCTTCCTAAAAAAGGAAGACGGAGGTTGGACCAATAGTTCTAAGGAGACATTAGAACTCCTTCTTCGTACCCATTTTCCAGGCTGTGGCCCAAATCAGGTCTCAGGGGTATGTAGCAACGTAGCGGCACCATTCATTAATGTCGTTAACGAAATTTTCACGCGGGAGAAGATTGCATAAGCAATTAACAGTTTCTCTCCGTACAAATCTCCGGGTCCGGACTGGATCTTTCCAGCAATGCTACAGGAGGGGAAGTCGTGGGTTATTTCATGGCTAGAGATCATTTTCAAAGCATGTATAATGCTCAACTATGTTCCGTCTACCTAGCAAAGTGTTAAAGTAGTTTTCATTCCCAGATGATGTAGTGATTATGGTATCCGGATTATGCATAAATGTGATAAGCAAAATGATTCTAAGAGCACTAGGGGAATTGGGTTCGTGGGCACATAGCTGCGGGCTCAACGTTAATCCCTCGAAGACCGAATTACTATTATTCACTACAAGGAAAAAGATTCCTAATTTTAACCTACCTTCCTTAAACGGGCATACTCTTTCTCTTTCCCTTTACGCTAAGTATTTGGGAGTCATTCTCACCTGAAATTTAACTGGAAAATGAATACAGAGCACCGAGTAAAGAAGGCCTATAGTGCTCTGTATTCCTGCAAGAAAATGCTGGACAAGAGGTGTGGCCTACGACCTGAACTTATGCTATGGATGTAAAAGGCTGTGATTCTCCCAATTATTGCATATGGTTCGTTGGTTTGGTGGAAAGCCGTAGAGATTAACTACATACGCACAATGTTAGGCAGGGTACAAAGGTCAGCCTGCATTGCGATTACTGGTGCGATCAGATCATGTCCAATGGAAGCATTGAATGTCATCTGTAATCTGCCCCCGACTGATCTCTTTATCAAGGAAAGTGCTTCACAGAGTGCGCTCAGGTTGAGGGAACTTGGATTGTGGAAAGAACGTACGTATGGGCAATACAGGATTGTTTCAACGACCCAAGCATTCGCGAAAAAACTGACTACATTTGGCCTTCGCTTCTCTTCAAGAAAAACTTCCGCACGATTTTTCCATCAAGAAATTACTGATCGCTTCGAAGTATCCATTTTTACGGACGGTACAAAAATGGATTGCGGCGTAGGGGCGGGAATTTTTTCAACCGAATTCCAAATCGAAGAGTTTATTCGATTACAAAATTGGGCCAGTGTTTTTCATGCAGAAGTATTTGCCATAAATCAGGCGTGCAAAATAATTTTAGCCTCGAAGCTAGTGAGAACCAGCATTGGTATTTTTTAAGACAGTCAGGTTGCGATCACGGCACTTGTCTCTGTAATCATCACCTCCAGCATAATAAAACAGTGCAGGGAGAACGTTATGGTTTTAGCTGACAGGCACGCCGTTGCACTGATCTGGGTACCGGTGCGAACCCAGGACGAACTGGCCAGGAATAGGTCAGCTCTAGATATCTCAGAGGCAGAGGAGGTTTCTGTGCCTTTGAGCTCAGCACTGGAAAAATGTGGCCAACAGTTGGGGGAAAAGCCTACAATCCTGTAGGGTCTGCAGGAGTCTGTGGCCCACCTACTGCACGAAACGCACTGCTCTTCTTATCAAACTAAACAGGAGGGATCTATCTCGACTAACTAGAATTTACACAGGCCACTGGGCCGTGGGAATACATGCTGCAAGATTAGGACTAAAACACAATACCTCCTGTCGTAGTTGTAATTCACCAGATGCAGAAGAAACGGTGGAGCATCTACTCTGCGATTGCCCAGCACTATGTAGGACTATAATCAGGCTTTTAGGCAAACCCTGCTTCTGCGGTTCAACAGACATATATTATATTAACCCACTGCAACTTCTTAAGTTCTTGAACTCCACATGCTGGGTTTGAGATATCACCGACGCAAAGTGCCGCCTAAGTGGGCAAAAATCGAAAAATTCGTTATCTGCAATGTGAACTTGTTTGGTATTTTTGTAGAGACAATTTATCTACTAAAAAGAAGTAAACAGAAATTTCCCTAAAAAATTAACTATATGCCGCCAGGAAGCCACAAAAGGCGACAAATTTTATTCTAAGAATTTTAATAAGATCATAGCCATGCGTAAACTCTTCACAGAAAAAAATGTCAAAAATATATTCTTTGAACTAAAATGTTGGTTTGACGTTTCTTCTTTCCATATAGATAGTAGAGAATTACAAGAATGAAAATTTTGGAATAAAATTAAACACAGGGTGTCCCTGAGGTGTTCCAAAAAAACTATTTTTTTAAACAAAATTTCAAAAAATTCTAAATTTTAATGGAATGAATAAAAAATATATGT